CCAACTACACTAAGTCACCACACCCTTATATCTACTTTTAGTTATTGTATAAGATAATATAATAACATTTGAAATATTGCAGAAGACATGTCAACAGGATAGAATAGCATTTAAAAGTTTTAACCCTTGAAGCTCTACTTCAAAACCAGATGGTTTTTGATATTTTTATATCTTAGATATAGATATAAATAACTAGCATAGAGTTTAGTCTAGGTTATTTGTAGTACTATATAATTTTTACAATCTTGTATAGGTTTGATAGTGCTATCTTTGTTTTCTTTTCTTTTGTTTTTCTTTTTTCATTATTTGTTTTATTTGGTTTTTTGGTTTAGGTTGATGTTGTAGTATTTTTCTATTTTTGTTATACCCTTTGCATTTGTGTTTGTATTTTATTTTGTAAAAAGGAAAGTTAATTTGGATACAATGTGTAGCACCAGCCTATAATCAAAGGATAATTTCTAGTAAGTTAGAGACCCAGAAAAAGGTTTGAAGTAGGACTCTGAACAATTTACAAACAGCTAACAATTTGCAAAAATTACTAAAAATAGAAGAATCTGTAGAAAAAAAGCCTGAATAAGCAAACTAATTACTAAAAATAGAAAGATCTATAGAAAAAGTAGTCTGAAATAAGCAAATTAAAATCTTATCTGTCTATAGATTGTTCGAGGTCCTCTTGAAGTCTACTAAGGCAAGTCATATTTAGCAAAAGCATAGGTATGTCACTTTACAGATGGATTATTATAGCTACTATTAAAGAATGTAAATTTCTTAGTATAGTTTAATTTGTAAATAAAAAGTAGCAAGACTGCTAAATTATAAAAAAAAAATAAAACTATTATTAAAACTTATTTTATAACAATATTTGAAAATTTTAATTCTATCTTCTTTCTTCACAAACTTGCTATTAAAAAAAAATTTATTGATTTTAACAAAGTTAAATTAGATTAAACTTGTAAGAAACTATTATTATTATAGCTATTTTAATACAGTATATATTTCAAAGCAACTATTAAAATAACCAAATTAACAATCTTTATCTTTAATAAACAATTAAAAAATTGCTATTAAGCTTAGTAAAATAAATTAAAAATTGATTAATCAGTTAGTTGGCTAAGTTGGCAAATAATTGATTAACAATTTTGATCTAATTATTATTGCAGTTTGTAAAATTATATGAAATTTGAAGATTATTAAAAAAAAGTAATTATTGATTTTTGCTTAGAATAGTGTTATTTATTACCTAATTTTTTTTATCAAAAGCTTACACTCTTTTCTCTCTTAATATATATTTTAATCAGATTTTTATATATAATTTTAAATTTTTTATCTTTTTTCCCTAAAAAATCATTTGATTTTTGTCACATCCCTTACTGATTTCTAATTAGAGTTAGAATCCAGATATATTTTTATTATCCAGATATAAATAAAGTCAAAAACTATATCTGGATTAATCTATTTTAAATCTGGATACAAATATTTCTGAATATTCTAGATATAAATTTATATTTGAATATAAATATACATCCGGATATGAATATATATTTGGATATAATATATATCTGAATATGTATACATTATTGAACAGACGTCAAAGAATTTTTTTGTTAGAACATTAAAGGTGGTTTCTTATACAAATTTTCAAGAAACAGTCAATTTTTTTCAAAATGACCAAAATTTTCTGATCATGTTATATTACGCAAAATTGTGATTTATTATTAGCTAATCATGTTAGAAGATCATATGACTGCACCCTTGATTGGTGATAATGTTAAGGTGTTGCATAGCAACACATAAGTGAAATTAACTCCAAAAAAATTAACTGTTTTTGTTATACATATGTTATATAATAGTATTATCTAATAGTTAATATAACTATGTGAAGTTTTTTCTATGATATTTTGCAAAACTGATTATGTAATTCATGAAAAAATATCATGGCAAAAACATTCACATTATTATAAGAAATGTTAGAATTTATTTTCTATCAGAATTTATATATTATATCTGAATTTATATTATATCTGGATACAAATATTCAAAAAATTGAAACTGGATTTATTTAAAATCTGGATTAATCCGGATATAAATATATATCTGGATTCAACTACTATCTCTATTTCTGATTTCTTCAACATTTTTTTGACTTTTAGACTTAATAAAATTTGTGCATTTATTATTTGTAAAACTAAGATTAAATATTTTAATTCGCAACTCCTATTTCTGCAAATATATTGCAAAATGATGAATACAACTTTTATTTTCATAAAAATAATAAATTTTTTACAAAATAATAACTGCACAAATTTTGTCTAATCTAAAAGTCAAAGAAATCGAAATTCAGTTATCAGAAATCGTGATTACTTTTTTTTTTAATGATCTTCAAATTTCACATAATTTTGCAAACCGCAATAATTAATTAATATTAATCGATTAATCAATTAATCGATTAGTTAGCAATAATCGATTTGTAATCGATTTTTTAAAAAATTTTCAACCAACTAATCGATTACAATATTTGTTTCAATTCATATCACTAATTAAGCCAATTAAAATAGACTATTTCACTTGAGTTCTCATATATTTCATATTTTAAAATCCAAAAATAAATTCTCTATTATATACAGTATATCAAAAAAGTTTATAAAGAGATCTTTTTTTTAAATACAAAATATTATACAGTATATAAAGTTTAAAATTAATTTTAAATTATCTAAATATTTTTTTTAACCCATTCAAATCTTTTCTTATGTAAATATAAAACTAAAAAATTAGTTTAGTCAATTTTTAAAATTCTTCAAGATTAAAAGAAATGGCATTGTAACTTTGCTTCTGCGAAATTTTATCCCAAATAATAAACCATTAGAGCTGTGAATCTATTTAAATTTAGCGAAAAATTATAAGTAAAATTCTATGCTATATAAAATTTTAAATATTAAGTTTTGTATGATACCACATATTTACATAGTATGTCGTGCACCCAATGTCCCATGACTGTTACATAGTATTAAAGTTTAAAGTTTAAAGAAATACATGAAAAGAAAAATTAGAAACCGAAAATCACTAATCATTAATAATCGTTTTTTTTTTCATGATCTGCAAAATTTACCAAATTTTTGCAAACCGCAATAATCAACTGATCATATAATATCAACTAATCGATTGAAAATTTTTCATCGATTTGTATCAATGCATATGAGAATATCAACCCAACTGTTTCAGTTACTACCTTACGTGTTTTTTTCCAAGTTTCATTTAATTATTGTATTCAACTAATCGATTAATTGGTCAATCGATTAGTCGATTAACAATTAATCGATTGAAAATTTTCATCGATTCGTCACTAATTCCTACGTACCTCGCAGTAGATTACATCTGGGTGCTCTTAGAAGTAGCCGGATAAATCAGGCTTGTATTAGTGTAACATAATTTAAAAATACTAATATATACAATTTGTTCAAATTATCTAAATAAAATACAGTAAAAGATAAAAATATTTTAGCAAATCAAATTTTACAATTTGATTGGTCAATTAAAAGATGCAAATCAAGATATTGAGATAGCATATATGCATATTACGCATTAAAATTGATGCACGAAGATTACTAAACATAATTGCTTTGCGTAACATTGGCGAAATGTTTGGATACCTGCTCGGCCGGAAAAATCGAGAAACCTTACGATAACTTCTAGAAAAATACCTGTATTGAATTTAACAAGAGTTGCATGTCAATATGTTATTGGTGCGCACTCATGTTATTCATCTTGATTTTCAAGAGTCGAATAGTACAATGGAAGATCATCGCCTACCCTGTTTCTATTAGGGATTGTCTATTGCCTATGCAACTATTGTGATTTGTATAACAAATGTCCATTACCGTTACGTTGGTAACTATATACAATAAATTCATGTGATTATAAATTCATTAACTTTCCATTGCCATTGTTTTTCTTCCACAGTAATAATGATGTAAAAAAACATCATTTTGTTTAGACTTATATATTTCTGAAAGAGCATTTTTAAACATTAAGGCATATTCATATTCATTGTTTCTGGGCGACAACAAACACATCATTTATCTCTACCCCGCACCTTGTGCCAACTCTATAATTTTATATCACATCAACCAAACATGGTATTTCTTTCATATTTACATGTTTCAAAAGTTGATACTTATTCTCAACCCGGTTTGTGGGGTTTATATGATTTTAATTAAATAATTTAATTTAAACCAATAAATTCAGTAATATATGTTGTATATATCACAAGATTATCACCCGAGTTGACGATTGCTTAGGCTTAAACGCTTATAGTGCAGAATTTGGGCCATTTTTTTTATGGCAGGTATCACATAAATACGCTGATTTTTATTTTTTTCGATGTATATATATAGTTGGTATTTTTACCAATTTCACAGGTGGTTCTTCCTCGTCATTTTGCGTGGTTGATGTTTTCATCAATAATAGATTTTATTTTCTTCCGTTTGTATTAATAAAATAACTATGGTTAAAATGGTTGGAAAATTCATTAGATGGATGAAAAAGGGTCATAAGAAAAATGATGCGGACATTTCAATATCACTACGACAACCCCCACTCACTCCTTTATTGCAGCCTGCGGTTGAAGAAGGTAAGATACTGCTCGCATTATCACCTAATCTTATAGCTTCAACGAGTAATAGCAATATAGTACAGCATATTGCTGGGAAATAAAAAGAAATTTGTACATAATCGAACCAAATGTTCAGCTTATTATAACAAATATCGTTTGTTACTTTCCGCAGTAATCCATGGATATACTATCACTGAAGAATGGTACTCTGGAAGTACAAACAACGTGTGCAAAGGAATTAAGGATTCCCGGGAATACGCTTTAAAATTCTTCAAAGACGAGGCTGCCTTTAAAAATGAAGTTGCCATTTTGACCCTTTTGAAAAATTCTCAGGTTGAGAATGTGGGTTTTTTTCTTCCTTTGACTAGATATATAGAATAAAGGCTTAGCCATATTTTATTAAATTTATTGATTATCTCGACATCAACTTATATATTTTTTGATTATTACTTGTAAATAGAATATAGTCCAATTGGTTGAAACTCTTGAGATGGAAAAAATTATTGTCCTCGAACATGGTATTTGCGATTTACAAACTTACATTCGGAAACCGACTTGGATTCAAAGTCGTCAACATACTGATGAAATAAAGAAAAAAATCGTAAAGGTAAGTATGTTAGGCTTCACGCTCCTATTCTTCGCTTGTGTCGTTATTAATCATGTGACTTGTGTTATGTAGGATGTTGTCGCGGGATTGGAACAATGCCATAAAAAGGGGATAAGTAAGCAGATGGTTCTTGATTGTGTCCTATTTTTTGTAAACTTTATTTTTTTAATATTTGAAAATTGGTGCGTCTGTTTGTCAGTTCATACAAATTTGACACCAAAGAACATTGTTTTATTCCATCAGGGTGCTGAAAATCTTGGAACATGGAAGTTGATAGATTTCGATACATCACGTAAAATTTCGGCCCCAACAACAATAAATACCGTAAATTATTGTTGTCCTGAAGTCGCAAAAGCTGATTTTGTCGGCAAAACAAAGAAAGCTCACCCATCAATGGATATGTTTTCTTTTGGTTTGGTTCTTTTTTTTATAGAAACTGGATATCATTATTGGAAACGGAGAGATTTATGGTCGATTGGTCCACCATTAACAAAAATAGAAAAGTTAGAATTTCTTCGGTCTAAGGAATCCCTCACCGTAAGCGTCGATGATATTGACAATGTTAATAAAAGAGACATTATAAATCATTTATTAAAACCGAAAAAGCAAAGAATGACATTAACGCAATTCAAGGTTTGTTTGTAATTCAGATAATTTCTATATAAGAACTTATTTATTGCGAAACTTTAATTTACTGTGCAACAGAAAACTGTGTATTATTCTGAGGATAACAATGAAGATATAATAAACGCGATTATTCTGTTAGACAGAGAAGAAGAGGATAAATACAAACAACTCATGAGTCTTATTCCACAAGAGTGGGAAAAAATTGGTCCTCAGGTAAATTTTTTAACGATATATATGTTTATTGCATTCGCATTTTGTTTATCACGTGATAGTCGATCAATTACAGCTTTTCAAGTTACGAAGTGAAAAAATACCACGTTTATTCATCATTATTCCCGTCAGTCCGTCTTGGAAAAATCCAAGGTAATTATTTAATATATTATATTTATATATGTATGCTTTTTTTGAATTAATTTTTCGCGTTATTTTTAGAACCTGGACATTACAATCATTTCAATTATATTTTGTATGCGAGCACGTTACACCACATGTTCATGAACATAAGGGTTATTACATTCAAAATCCTCTCGAGTTTATGAAAAAATTTGGCGCGTATATTAAATTTTGGTATGCAAACTTTACGCAGTTTTCGTTGCTTAGCTTATTTTACCAAACTAAACCATTGTTATTTTAAAGTCACCACCTGGTTTCAGCTAGAACCACGTATGACAAATTCCCTCAAGAAATAATAGATCATATCACAAAATTGTTTCATGTTTCAAAATCTTCAAATCTTTTAAATCACATCGCTAAAATTGGGGATCAGATACATCAAATAGTGAATGAACTTCCACCAATCGCCAATGGTCAAGCTGAAGTTCTTGATCTTGATGATGATGCTTCTCATTATTATATACTTAATTCATCTGGGCTTCGTGAATTGAAAGGTTGATATAAAAACATTAAAATTTTCCTTATAGTATGAAATTATTTGATATTATTGAGATTTATAATAAAAACCAAAAAAATAAAAAAAACTTAGAATATTTTAACAGCACAAATATGCTTCCTGGACGTCTTATTGAAGCCCGTCGCAATGATACCAATGATTTTGTTTGGATTTGTGAAAGACATTCACGTGACCAGCTTTATGAGGCGAATTTCTTGGCATCAGGTTCAAATGTTTCGCACTCCTCATATATTGCAGACATGGAAAGCATTCCCGTCAATAATGTTAGGGCAATTATAAATGATATTGTCGAAAATGCAAGTTTTCGCCCAAAAATCATTGACGAATTCAAAAATATTACAACCTCAACCATGGATATTCTTGAATTATGGTTTCAAGATGGTAATGCCACCGTTAATGATAGGGAGTTTTTGGCGGATTCATTAGAAAAATACAATGAGCTTTTATTACGATTATTGAGTTACCAAGTTCATCGCTACCATGGTATGTAATTCTTATTATTTACAAAGATTATAAATTTGTCATTTAAATAAATAATGTATTTATGTAATAGCAAAAAAGACACTTTGGGCCAGTGCTAGGACAGACCGACAAGATATTATAAAGTATGCAAGTCAATGTTCAACACAAACGTTTGACACTTATTAACATTTATCATGCTAATGTTCATAATTATATAAAGATTAAAGGAAGAGTACAAGGTGAATATGATAAAATTGATGGCAGCATTGGTCGATAAATCCGCGAATATCATACTTCCTGGGTTCAAAGGATCCAGAGTATCATATGATGATTCTTTTCTAAGGTATGAAGATGATAAGTTTGCTATGTGGATTACTCGTATAAATGAACTTTATGAATTATATATCAAACAAATCAAAGACCATTGTCTTTCAACTACACTCCTGCGTGAATCTTACGTACCCATAAGTAAAATTAAAGAGCTTTCAAACGTTAATAAAAGGCATGGTTCCACCTTCCGTGTAGTAAAAAGTAAAACCGATAGTAACATGGTAGCTGAGAAACGTCTGCTCAAGAACGCCATAAATTTGAATATGCTTTATAGTGTGGAGAAAGAAATATATTTGTTCAAACGATACCTAGCTCCCTGTAACCATATAATTGGGTTCTTTGGTGTGACTGTGAAAAGTAATACACCATGTTTATTGATGGAGTGGGCACAGGATGGAAATTTGTATCAGTATATGAAAACATATAAGACCGTGGATAAAAAGGGAATGAGTCGGCAGTTTAAAATTGGCTTGGCTTTAGATATTGCTAAAGCTGTAAGCTTTTTACACGAAGTAGGTTATAAATAATATATTCTAAACTATGTATTCTTAAATTAATTACGATTTTTTTTTTTTTAGAACGGAATCATACACTTGGACATTCGTAGCCATAATGTGCTTTTGACTTCTGATAAGAAGGCTAAACTTTCAAATTTTCTTTGGAGTAGAAAACTTGATGGCGAACATACATTAGTATCTCCTCCCGCAAACTATAAACATAGTTTACGTAATCGATGGATGGAGCCACAACAATTACTAAACCCACCACAGAGTAAATTGGATTTTAAATCTGATATTTATAGCATGGCCATATTATTCTGGGAAATTACTGATGGTCGAGGAACCTTACCACACGCACATGTACCAGATAGATTGCTTAAGCAATATGTAGTTGATCAAAAGGGGCGAGATGGATTACCTTATGACGATGAATATCATATTTTCAACAAATTGGTACGTAAAATGTGGGCGTGGCATCGGCCTCATAGGCCTGAAACAACGCAAGTTGTAACCATCCTTGAAAGACTTTCAAATATTAAGGGTAAGTACAATGTTGGCCATCGTAACATATGAGGGAAAACCTGTAAGTACGAATTTAGTTTTCACTATGCCGAACTTAAACTCATTCGATATAGTGAAATTTTAAATTCGTACGTACTTGCAGGTTTTTGTACGTACGTCATTGATACAAATTTCCGAAAACCAATTTTATGTATATTTAGGTTAAAACCTTTTATGGTATTGAAATTTTGACCCTTATACCGTTTTAAGAATATGGATCTATAACGATAACGTATAAAATAATGCCTATTATGGGTCGACTATCACGTATGTACCACAACCAGCATTACCATTCCTGGTTCGTTATTCAAATGATGAATCGGACGGTTTAGCGGATTGGATGGAGACGTTAGCAGCGGAATATTCAAGAAAGAGTGGTATACCATGAAATGAATTTATTACTATATATATTAAGATTGCATCTATGTATTTCTATATCCTAACAAAAGGTTCTGTTTATTTAAATTAAAATTTGTATACAAATGGCTGCAAAAATGATGTAATGCTTATAAAGAGAATAAGTTTACCGAATGACCAGAAATTTTATTTAAAATTGCATTAGAAGTGTTGATATTCGGATTTTTTGCCGATCATCGTTTAGATAGTATATAGTAACATTAAATGGATAGATCAGTGGAGCAACAGACCGACACAAATTTAAAATCTCCCAAAATTTTACTAATAAAATGGTAGCCCACGTGCGATATGATAATTTTGCTGTAGTGTCAGTTCCTATTTGTATATATTTCACTTTTTACTCTACATTGATATAATAATTTATCGAGATATTTTAACTTGAAGGTAGA